ATTGGGAGTGTCCTTGTCTGCCATTCACCTAAGGCTTTTAGTAGCCAGTGGTGAGCGCTGTCCAGATCTATTATTTTATTAGGGGCTGCAAAATGATGCCAGTGTACCGCCACCACTCCTTGTGTGTTTATTGTCTCGATGGATTCTTTTTAATCTATATATACACCCTTCCTCCCACATGCACACAGAGTTTTCTAGTTTATTACTCTTTTTACAGTTTTAACCTGTTTCCCTCCAAAGGAATGATAGTAATTAATATTTATTTATCCTTTCTCTTCTCTCCATATTCATCTGTCTTCTAAATATTTTTATTGGTTTTATCTATCTGCCTCTTTTTATTATTTTACACTTGTTCTATTTTTCTTTAAGAAAGACACCCTCTGAGGGAAGGCCAGGAGGGTGGGGGAGGGGCCAGAGATCAACCAAAGGACTTGTATAAGCATAACCAATAGACACAGACAGTAGGAGGGTGAGGGTGGGAGCAGGTGGGGAGAGGTCAATGGGGGAAAAAGGAGACATGTAATACTTTCAACAATAAAGAATTTAAATTAAAATAATAATAAATAAAAATTAATGGAAAGAAAGAAAGACACCCTCTGAGAATGAATATCAGGAAATCATTTGGCCCTTTTTTCTCCACTGTGAATTTTAACTTTTTTAAATTTCAGATTATTCCTTACAGTTCTTCCTTGCTTTAGTCACCTCTTTTTTCCTTATGCATTTCTGTTCCGGTATGTAGAATCCATATTATATTAAATTCGGTTGCAGCTATAACACTGTTTCCTAAAGTTTCCTTTTAGCTGATTTTGTAGATAATTTCCACTGGTAATTTCTTTCTCTGAATCCTCTGGATAATGATCTCCTTATTACATAGGGTTGTTTGTTTTCTCTTAAACACAGGTGAATTGTTTGTTTTCTCTTAAACACACCGGAATTTTATCTAGGTGCGATGTTTGACGTGGTGTGAGAGAATTGTTCTTCCTTTCTTTTCTGTGGGTAGTTTCTTCTGAGAGCTGCAGCTGGGGTGTAGGTTGTACAGTGCTCCCAGGTCAGTTCCCCGTTCCTGACTCCTCTCCGCTTAATATCTTGTGTATGTCTTCAAAAAAATGTTTTTTTAAACAATTTCACTGACATGCCCCTGCCTCTTTTCCTGGCTCTCCAATACTCTGAACTATGAAATAATGTGTACACTATCCCTGCTTTCTTAAACAGAGGCCTGACACTGAAGGGTGAGTGGAATTTCCCAGTACTAGACAAGAGGTACACATTCCTGGCAGAGTGACCAGCATATATAGAGGCCTAGAGGCATAGAGCAGCATAGCCTGCCCCCACTTCTTCTAACGCCACTTCTTCAAAATAGACTCGCCCAGGCTGAAAACCGACTTCTGCGCATGGGCCACGAAGTTTCAATCGCACTGTACGTGCGCGCCCGCACGTGGTATTTTGTGGAAGAGCCACACTCAAGGGGCCAAAGAGCCGCATGTGGCTCGCGAGCTGCGGTTTGCGGACCACTGCCCTAGGCAATCTACCCTATTGTAATGCATCCCCTTTTAATAAACTGCAATCTCAAAATGTTAAAAGGGGAGTCATTATTTTTCCCACAAATCAAATCATTTTTCTTGTCCAACAGTAACCTTTCCAGTCTCTCAAGCTTGGAGTCTTTAAGTTGTATCATAAGTGGTTTTCCTCTATTCCGAGTAGTAACATTGCCTTTCCATTCAGCTTTCCCTGTGACTCATACCCCCTCCGTTTTTGTATTGCCTTTCTCTCATCTCGGCTGTTATCGGGCCAGGACTGTTCAGCAGGCTCCATTTCCTGCTTCTCACCTCTTCCCCCTTCACTCTATTTCCCACATGGCTGCCAGGTTTATACATTTTCAAAAATGCTTCTTTCTTTCCATCACTCGTCTCTGCTGAACCTCTGGTACCTAATCATCTATAGAGGACAACATCTAAATTGTCCGGTTTGACTTTCTGGGTTCATGCCTCTCACCTTCCAGGGTACAAACAATTTGTAGCTAGACTGGACTTCTCACTCCGCCTTGGGTATATCCCCCCCACCTAGTTTTATGCTCTTAATATTTTAATAGGGACTCCTTTATCCCCCACTTTTGACCTAAAAGAACATCAAAGACCACTAGGTTTGATTTTGTGTTCCTAGTGTTACAGTTTCTGACAGGATGGCCCTGCCTTTCAGTGCCTGGGGCTAGTGTGTTCCGCCTCAGTAGAGTTTCTCTACTATTTATAATGTCTCTAAATCTTTCTCTTTCTCTGTGCCACTCTCTTTTTTTAATGCCATATATTGTCTTGTTTATTTAATGAATACTTATTGTCATCATGTCTAGAGTGTAAGCATCATGAAGGTGCTTAATACCTTGTGTATGTCTTTAAAAAAATTTTTTTTAAATACACCTTTATTTGACGTTAGGGAGAGGAAGGGAGAGAAACATCGATTCAGTGTTCTACTTTATGCATTCAGTGGTTGATTCTTGTATGCGCCCTGACCAGAGATTGAACCCACCATCTTGATGCATCAGACAACTCTCCAACCGAGCTACCTCGCCAGGGCCTGTGTACGTCCTTAAATACTTCGGTGGAGTTTAATTTAAACTTTAAGGTATCAAAGAAATTATTTTAACATATCGCCCTCTTACCGAGTGCCTTAGGGAAGGACAAAAGTGATAGAGTATCAGTTCAGTTATCACTTATGCAGGAGCCCAACATTTGAGCTAATTTTCTAGATGTAAGTTACCTCTTTAAGCTCTTAAATTTAATGTTTCCACTTAAATATTTATTACTGCCCTTTGGTAAGCACAGAACACTGATGACTATTTAACCTTGTTTTTTGATGACTTACTCATATTTGTGAGACTTACTCATTTTTTTTTAATCCTAGTCCTCAGAAACACATGGTAGACACATGTTGGAATTATTTCTTTATTTTTAATTTTTAAAAATATATTTGTATTGATTTCAGAGAGGATGAGAGAGGGAGAGAGATAGAAACATCAATGATGAGAGAGAATCATTGATCAGTTACCTCCTGCACGCCCCCCACTGGGAATCCAGCCCACATTCGCAGTCTGGGCATGTGCCCTGACTGGGAATCGAACTGGTGACCTCCTGGTTCGTGAGTTGATGTTCAACCACTAAGCCAAGCAAATTATTTCTGATTAAAAATGTCATTGTTATGATTTGTTACCATGTCATATATATAGAATGCATGTTTCTGGAAGGTTTTTTGTTTTGTTTGTTTGTTGCCCGTCTAATTATTTGCCTCTTATAAAAGTAAAATACATCATCTGTAGCTTCATGATAGACTATTATCTAATTTTGAATGAAAAAAATGAGGTTATATATTTAAAAATGCATTAAGATGTATAATTATGATTTGTTAACTTTATATAAATAAAACTCAATAACAAAATATTCGGATCACCTCTCCTCGGCTTCCTCACCCTTAGTACAATCTTTGTTTTTATTATCTCTCAATGCCTTTTTGTCATATGGGTGGCAGAGAGGCTGGGCTAGATGAGAGACTTGATTTGGGAGAAAGAGCCAAGTTGATGGTGTGAGAAGCCCAAGAGTTAGCCAGGGTTGTCTGAGCTGTGTGCTCTACTCTGAGAGCCAGCAGTCTGGGGACCTAAGTGATCAGCAAGGGAGGGCAAGTGCTCTGGCTCCGGCTGTAAGGCAGACAGCCCAGATCAGCGACCTTAGGCAGGGTCTTTCTGTCTTTTGGCCCCCCCTGTACTCCTGAGCCAGGTGAGGAAGGGCATTCTGTGTTAGAGCCTACAGTTGTGAGTTTCAGAAAGAGAACAGCTACAGAGATAGTTCTGACCACTTAACCTTTTCTGGCAGGATTTCCTTCTCTTGTTTTAGCACTAGTAACTGCAGTCTTCAAAACAGAGTAGTCTCTAGAGTGCCTTCTGGTGGCAACTGCCAAGGGTTTCAGCCCTTCCCAACACAGCTGCTGGTTAGACGCTCCCTTAGGCTCCCTGGGGAGCTGAACACGTCAGTTCTCAGCCGCCTGTCGTGTCCTCTCGCCTTTGGATTTGGTCTACCCGAGTCACCTTAAATAAAAGGTCTGCTTCATAGTGTGACTGAGTGTCCTTTCCAAATACCTCAGTCCCTCAGAGGCTTGGAGCATTTGGCAGCAATCCTAACTGCTCTTGCTTTTCTCTAATTCCCAGGATCAGTTTTGTAGATTATTATCAGAAATCATTCCATGTGAACTTAAAAACCCCAAAGTCAAAAGTGTTAGTATCAGTTCTGTGTACTGATTACTGATCAGGCAGGCCTGTGTCTTCTAGACAGTGGCTTTAAACATGGAGGACCCCCAAGAGCTTTTGTTTATGTGACTTATATTTATTGATATTTACTGTATTAGAAATTAAAGCAACATTTTAAAATATTTATCAATTCATTTAAAAATAATAAACCATTTACCTAAATAAATTCACTTAAATATATAACAAGTTAATGTAAATTATTTTTTATGGAAAAGAATATATTTTCCAAAAAAGAAAAATTAGAAGAGAGAAAAGTTTACATATTTGTAAATCTTTTTAATAATCTCCTTTTTAGATAACTGTGGGTATTTTTCTTTGATAGTATACTCAAACTTAAATGGTGTTTTCTTAAAGATTAGTTGCAGTGTGGAATCTGAAACTACGTTAATGAACTTTTCATACCTAGTACTCTTGGGAAAGAATGTGTGAAAAGACAACATTGTTTGAACCTTATGGTAGCCCTGTGAAGTCATGAGGCATATATTGTTATTTCCATTTTACAGATGAAGTGATTGATCCAGGAGAGAGCCACTTAAAAATCTCTCTGTGACAGAACTACTTGTGGTTCAGAATTGCCTCTCATGTGCTAGATTTAATTTTGGGACTAGATTAATTATCCAAAGAATAAAGTCTCCCTGTTCAGATGACTGTGTGATTTCTATTTGTCCGATATATGCCTTTTTTAAAACACTGTATTTTATTTTTATTCTAGACTTATTCTGGACTCTTCTGTGTAGTCATAAATCCTTACAAGAATCTTCCAATTTACTCTGAGAATATTATTGAAATGTACAGAGGGAAGAAACGTCACGAGATGCCTCCACACATCTATGCTATATCTGAGTCTGCTTACAGATGCATGCTTCAAGGTAACTGGAAACGTTACAATACGAAATGCTTAGAGTTTCTTAAACGTCATTAGGTATCTTATTAGATGCTACATTTATCAAAAAAATTAACATTTTTAAAAGATTAGAAATTAAAGTAATAAATGTTTATTGTAAAAAATTATGAATTCTTAAAATTAGAATGGGCAAAATGGACATTTTTATAGGAAGCTGGTATGTTCCTTGCTTCATAAATACTCCATGTTAATTTTTATGTTCCAAAGCTCCTAGGCTGTATATACAACTGATCCACACCACAAGCCAGTATAAGCAAAGCTCTGTTGCACTAGGTTTTAAAACCAACAGGAAGAGCCAGCAGGAAGAATAATAAACAGAAAAGGTGAATGTTTCATTGGGGAAAGAAAGATTATAAAATATTTCTTATTTAAATATGTGTAAAAGAGACAGCAAAAGTTAAAAAATGTGTTGAGTTGGTTGAGTTTTGTTTTCTTTTGGATTTAGAATGAAATATAAATGTAAGGAGTCATTCATTTGAATCATGGCTTTAGACACAATGGTTTGTGGAAGGACATGTTTTAAAAAACCAAAATGTAGTAGTTTTTAATGCACTTAGCATTGCTCAAAAAGACTACATTATACATGGGACTTGCTAGTGCTATGTGAAGTATAACTCCCCCTCTATCTACTTTTATTTTTTTTTAATAATTCGATAAGATATATTAAAATCTATATGGTTCTTATAAAGTAGTTCCATTATCAGAAAACAGGACATGCTATATCCACCTATCATCAAAGTTTGTAGGTCATAGAAAGGCTGCCTTGGTGACTGGGTCTGAAGGGGAGTGTGAGGGAATTAATAAATTACAATACCCATTTCCTCCTTCAGGTTTTGTTTGGATACTTTTACGTACCAGGTCCTCTGAGGCAAATAGGAAGTACTTCAAGATTAGAATAGTGTCATAGATTGGTAAGGACAGGTTCAATATCCAAAATCAGCTTAGGCTTAAAAAAAGATTATATTTAATAACCTTTCAGAGCCAAAGAATACTAAGAATGACTATGGCAGTGATAAATTGCTACTAGATAATGGAGAAAGAAGAATTATCAGCTTCTTTGTTTTTGGTTTTGTGTCTCTGTTAAGAATAATCTTTTTTTACAGAAAAGCATGTAATGTATGAATGAGCAAACTTTGCCTTATATGGGAGAAGAAATTAGAAAAGGTACACTTCTTCCCTAATTGAAACCATAGTTACTCATTTAAACAAATATGTTCTGCCCTAGCCGGTTTGGCTCAGTGGGTAGAGCTTCGGCCTGCGGACCAAAGGGACCCGGGTTTGATTCCGGTCAAGGGCATGTACCTTGGTTGCAGGCTTCTCCTCAGCTCGGGCCCTGGTCAGGACTCATGCAGGAGGCAATCAATTGCTGTGTGTCTCTCACATCGATTTTTTTTCTTTCTGTCCTTCCCTCTCTCTTCCACTCTCCCTAAAAATCAGTGGAAAAATATCCTCGGGTGAGGATTAAAAAAACAAAAAGACAAATACATTCTTACAGTTGAGATTGTAACTCTGGTCTTTGAACTAAAAGAGGAGTTTCCAGAACGCTGGGATGGGCTCACATATATAATTCTAATTTTTTAAAGGGAAGAAGCATCCTGGTCGGTGTGCTCAGTGGTTAGAGCATCAGCCTACACACCAGAGGGTCCCAGGTTCAATTCCCAGTCAAGGGCCATGTACCTGGGTTGCAGGTTTGATCCCCAGCCCCAATCAGGGTCAAGGCACGTGTGGAAGGCAACCAATCAATGTGTATCTCTCACATCAATGTTTCTCTCTCTTTCTCGCTCCCACCTCCCCTCCCTTCCACTCTCTCTAAAAATCAATGGAAGATTAACAAAAAAAAGGAGGTAGGGGGAGAGACACTTCAGACTGCTGAGCTTAATACACCTGCCAGGAAAGATTCTGGACTCTATTGTTAACAGTCTAAAAACAACATGAAAATACCACGTTGCTTTAGCTTAGTAGGAAGGGAAATACAGTAGACAGTGTAAACAGAGAGACTCTCTACATGCATTCCGTAGTCTGCCATGATATCCTTGTGGCTGTAGACTGAAAAGTTGCACTTGAAGTGCTTTTAATGATTGCGGTTGGCCAGGTTTATCAGGGTGTGCACAATGGGTTTGTGCCCTTCCCAACATCTTCATCAGTATACTTAACGATGGGGGATGCATGCCCATAAAATTCGTAGATGACACAAAACTGGGAGGGAAAATAAATATATCTGATGAAAATAAACAGAATTTTAAAAATATCTTGACAGGTTGAATGGGGAATTAGATCTAACAAAATAGTTAATGGGTAAATGTTAATGTCCCAGCGCAGAAGGAGCAAGATGTGGCTCTCTGACTGCAGGAGGCCTGAGGTAAATGCCGCCAGGACCCTGAGAGTAGGGGACTTGACTATCCTCATCTGTCAATAAAGCTGTTGTCTTTAAAAAAAAAAAAAAAAAAAAAGATGTGGCTTATCAGCACATCATAGTATTAATACCATCATTAATGCTCAATGAACATTTATTGAATATTACTGTGTGCCAGGCACTGAGCTCATTGCTTTTATGTGTATTAGTTAATCCACAACAACAACCCTGAAAAGTAAGTATGATCACTTATCCCTATTTTATGTGGCACAAAAGTTAAAAATGTAACCAAGAAAATGTAACTAGTAAGAGGTATGAGCTAGGATTCAAAACCAAGGCAATGTGACACATTCTTATCCATAAAAATAAGCTTCAGTGTAAAAGTTAAAAGGAATTACAGTAATTTATAGCTTTTATTGCATAATAATTTACAAATTGATACAGGAAATTGAAAAAAATGCTAAACAGTTCTGTTGTATTCCATTGTGTAAGCAGGGGGCCACCTGCTAATGTACTACATACACAGCACAATTGGGTTGGGACATCTGATAGGAGTTCATTGCATATGCGGTGGCTGACCAAGCTCAGGCTACCTTCCAATGCTGATCAATCCAGGTTTTCAATTACAAATGTGAGCAAGTAACTCAATGTAACTGGGCCTCTGAAGGATCTGCTGCTAGAGAAGAGGGTGCCATGCAAAGGATTCAGAGCATGTGGTCCCATTCAACGGTTCGTTTAATGCAAAATAGAAGAAAACTTAATTTTTTTCTTAAGTTTCAATAAAATGCTCAATACGTATTTATTGAATGAATGAATGAATGAAAGTAATGTTGTTAGACATAAACTTTATTACAAAAATTACAAATTTAGTTTTTGTTAAATATATACCTAGACATGATATATACTCTAATAATAACTAGGCATTTCATGTTTTTAGTATTAAGTGGAACTTAAAATTTTTAAGTTTCTAATTCACTGTTAATGTATAGTAATATTCTTTTTTAAATATACATTATATTGACCTTGTATTTTGCAACCTTGTAAAACTCACTAATTCGGGAAGGTTTTTTGTAGATTGTTTGGGATTTCCTGTATTGACATTCATGGCCTCTGGAAATAGAGACATTGTTATTTCCTCCTTTTCAATCCTATGCTTCTAATTATTTTTCTTGCCTGTGATGCTGAAAAGCTATTGTGAGAACAGACATCCTTGCCTGCTCCTCATCGTAGGGGGACAGCATTGAGTTTTTCACCTTTGAAGATGATATCAACAAAAGGTTTCTTTGTAGGTGCCCTTTATCAGGTTGATGAAATTCCCTGTGTTCCTAGTTTGCTGAGGTTTTTTTGTTAGTTTGTTTAAATCATGAATGGATATTGAGTTTTATCAAATGCTTTTTCAACATCTATTCAGATGATTACATGGCTTTCCTTTTAGTCTGTTGATACAGTGAATTAGATTGTTTGCCTTTTGGATGTTGAGCTAACCTTGCATTTCCAGGATAAACACCACTTGCTCCTGTACATTATCCTTTTCATATATTGTTGGATTTGATCTGCCAACATTCTGTTAAGAATTTTTGTGCCCTTGTTTATGAGAGATATTTGTATGTCATTTTCTTTTATTATAATGTCTTTTCCTGATTTTAGTATCAGGGTAAGGCTTGTCTTTTAGAATGGGCTGGGAAGTGTTTTTCCTCTTCAGTTTTTCTGATGAGTTCATATAGAATTGGTATTATTTCCTTAAATGTTTAGTAAAATTCACCAGTGAAGCTGTGTTTCTGTGTGGGAAGGTTTTTTTGGTTTGTTTTTTAATCATCACCCGAGGATATTTTTTTCTATTGATTTCAGAGAGTGTGGAAGGTTTGACTCCTGCAACCCAGGTATGTGCCCTTGACCAGAAATTGAACCTGTGACCTTCTGGTGCACAGGATGATGCTCCAACCCACTGAGCCACGCTGGCTGGGCTGTGAGGTTTTTAATTATGCATTGAATTTATTTTTTTATTGCGATATAATTGACATATAATATCATTCTAGTTTTACCAATTCAATTTCTTTCTTTTTTAAATTGATTTTAGAGGGAGAATTGGCTGCCTCCTACATACCCCCTACTGGGGATTGAGGCCGAAACCCGGGCATGTGCCTGACTGGGAATCAACTGGTGACCTTTTGGTGCACCGATGACATCAACCCACTGAGCCACACCAACTAGAGCTCAATTTCTTTAATAAATATAGGACTGTTCAGGTTATCATTTCTTCTTGAGTGAGCTTTAATAGTTTATGTCTTTCAAGAAGCTGTCCCTTTAATCTTAGTTATCAAAAGTTTTTACATAAAGTAATTCCTAATATTTCCTTATTATCCTTTTAGTATCTGAGATCTGTAGAGGTGTTGCCTCTACCTTCTTTTAAGGTAGGAGCTGAAGGCATTGATTTCAAACTATTTTCACTGTTGAAAATATGATTTAATTTGTATGGATTTATTGAGTATCTCCATAAATGGTATGTGATTTTGGGGAGGTACTTTGGAAAATATGAGTTATCAGATGAGTCCCTAGTCTTCAGAAGGCTATTTGCATTTTTTAAAATTAAAATTGTTTCCTTTAAATATCAATATACAGTCTAGCCAGTTTGGGTCAGTATTTGAGTGTCAACCTATGAACCAGGAGGTCATGGCTCAATTCCTGGTCAGGGCACATGCCCGGGTTGAGGGCTCGATCCGCAGTGTGGAGAGTGTAGGAGGCAACGGATCAATGATTCTCTCTCATCATTGATGTTTCTCTCTCCCCCCCGCCTTCCTTTCTGAAATCAATAAAAAAATATTTTTTAAAAAATACCAATATAAGGCTGTGTCTAGTCACATTTATAGGTTTTTCAAGATCAGTGTATAAATTGCCATAGTGCTGCTGAAGTTGGTCCTTGAAGGATGTAAAGAACTGAGTGAAGCAGAAGGGAGGAGTAGGGGTGGGACAGTCCTAGTTGGAGAGAATCTTGGAGGTTATGAAGCCCCTCCCCTTACTGTACTGCTAGTGACACTGAAGCCTAAAGTCAGACAGATGAGTAAGAGAATAAACAAGTCTCACTTAGAAGACAGTTGTTTTGTTTTGTTTTTGGCTGGGGGGTAGAAGCATGGGAAATGAAGTATTGCGCAGATTTGAAGGGTAGATTTGGGTTGTCTAAGTCTCAAATTTCAGACAATGATAATAGCATATACAGATGCGGGAAGAAAACCATTCTCATGGATTAAGGATGGAATGCAATTTAATTTTGGTTAATTTTTGTGTTTCAGTTTCTTTACATCTATAAACCAGTTTACAAAAGCCATTAAAAAACACTTGGTGTAGTGGAGTTCTATAGAAATTGCTCAGAACAGAAGAATCTCAGGGTCTGACAGTTCATATTTATAGTGAACTAGAGGCCTGGTGCGTAAATTTGTGCATGGGTGGGTGGGGTCCAGCCAGCAACCCTGATGGGGATGGGGTTGGCCGGGGGGGAGGGGCCTCAGGCAGTTGGCCAGCCGGCTCATCCCCTGGTTGAACTCCTGGTCAAGGGAACAGTTTGCATATTAGCCTTTTATTATATAGGATAAGCAAAGACTTGTTAAAACCTAGTTTTATAGGTAAAGAAGTTGAAACCAGCAGGGAATCAGTGTGTCATCTATAGCTACATTAGTCCATTTGCAGCAGAGCTGGAGTGAGAACAAAAGATTCCAGATCCCACTACAGTGGAGCCTTGACTTACGAGTTTAATTTGTTCCGTGATGGAGCTCGTAACTCAAATTACTCGTATGTCAAATCAAGAAGTGAACGAGTGAGACACATGATGCTGGGCTGATGTTGTGGCGTTCACTGTGACGTTTGCTGCGCCAATTAGCGGTGGGGTATCTGAAGCTGGCTCCTAACTCGAATTTTAGCTCGCAACTCAAAGCAAAACATCGGCCGAGAGACGGCTCGTATCTCGAAAAACTCGTTAGTCGGGACACTCGTAAGTCAAGGCCCCACTGTATTTTGCCAGTGCCCAGCATGGTGCCCAGCACTGAATTTCTCTCAGCAGGCCTTACCGTTAATTCTGTGGATGAAAAAATAAGAGTTTCTGATCTCAGGCAGCGCATTCTACTGGGCAGGAGTTGGCACTATTGTTTGTCTAATTTGAAAATATGGCTCAAAGAAGGAAACAGGGAGGAGTCTGAGGGAGTGTCTGGGTGGTTCCCAGAGGAGATACAGCGGAGCCGAGCAGGAGAGGATACGTGGAGATGGCCAGGTAGTTGTGGATCTGGGCAGAGCGTGTTGAAGAAAGGATATGGCATGACCTCTGGGAAAGTGAGCCGACAGAGGAGGTGCACATCAACTGTGTACTATGAACGCTGCCTATGGCAACCAGAAGGAAGGGAAAACTGGTAGAAGCCACAGGCATACCTTGTTTTATGCACTTTGCTGCGCTTCACAGATGTAGGGTTTTTACAAATTGAAGGTAAGACCCTCCACCAAAAGAAAAGATTACAACTTGCTTAATTACAATACTCGCTTTATTGTGGTGGTCTGGAATCTCTGAGGAGGTATGTCTGTATTAGGTAAGCTTTCTGGGCCGGGCAGTAATATAATTTAGTTTATACATAGAATATATGAAAGGATTTGCTTATTTTACCAATAGAGGAAAAGGTATGGCATAGTGAATGAACTCTTTATTTCTCCTTCATGACACGAATTTATGCCTGAACTTCTGTGAGATTATCATTGGGCACCTGATGAGGGAAGCATGCCCAGCATAAGGTAGTGACAAAGAAGCTGTCTAGGCAGGCCTATGACGTTGCGAAACAATGGTGAGCTTGGTCAGTAGTGTGGAGAACACAGGCACTAGAGGCAGACCTGGCTGGTCCTCACCCCAGCACCTTGCCCTTCAGTAGTGTGTGACTTGGGAGGATTACCTGGCCTTCTCGGGGAACATTTCTCATCTGTAAAATAGAGACAGTGATGCTCATTCATAAGTGATCGGAAGTCATACTTCCTACACTGGTGGTTTTGTCCATGGGCCAGATGTGGATTTGAATTTCATCTTTTCATTTGAAAATTGAATTGAATACTTAAATCATTGATCACTTTAAAATCATGTTAGACTTTTTTCATTGCTCTTGCTTTCCTTATTTTTGTTATATATAACATTTGACTTGACAGTGGCTAAACATCACATAGAGATATATCTTCCTTGAATCTTCTTTTCTATTCAGTGTTTGATGCTAGTTCTTTTCTCCTTTAAGGTCACATGATCACATGGTCACATTAATAATGGTTGTGGGTATTCTTGAAGCCATTCTGAAAGGCATTGGTTTTCCAAACTTGGCCTTGCCTCAGAATCACTTAGGGAATTTACTTAACATGGGATTTTTCAATCCCTACAGCACTTGAAAATAATTTAGCAAAGATGGCGCTCTAAGAAGTACATTGTTATAAAACTTCCCAGCTGAATTTGATAAGCAGAAGCGGCTGAGAATCAAGGTTGATAGGCATATAAAGTTTGCTAAGCCTGGGCTGTTATTTATTCCCAGAGAATCTGTCGAAAGAGTAAGTGAACTTGACTGGATTTGGGACTATCTAACAGGTTGGGGAAGCGTTAACTTGACCTGAGAGGTGTACAGTTACTATTTTAGAGGCTGTTACTGTAACTTCATTATATCAGATACTTTAAAAATCAGGCAAATGGTCACTTTCTTTTTCTGTTTGTTTTGTCTTATAGATCGTGAGGACCAGTCAATTCTTTGCACGTAAGTAAATGTTGCATGTTCAGATTCATTTTTGATTCTGTTGGAAAGTAAAGCAATTAATTTTTTTGTATGGAGGACGGGGTATAGTAGAACGGTAATTTTTGAGTTTGTTGTAAACCTTGTAGTTATTTTTAAAACTAAGATTATATAAGTTGCTTAAATTTGGTATTACTGCAAACTGGGTTTTTCACACATTTCATAATGTTAATCTGTGAAACTTCCATCTTTAGTTGTATTTCCAAATGTTGATCTACTAAACGTTTCAGTAATGTAGCCATGCTCCCCAATAGGCGTTATTGATTATTATGTGCCTGGTGTTCTGTGCTAAGTACGAGAGAGTCAAGGTTGAATAAAACAGTATCCACAGAAGGAAGTGAGTAGATTTGCACATTCGAGAGGCCACTTTGGCTGTTGTTTGGAAATGGGTTGGAGGAAGAGTTAAAAGAGGAAGAGCAATATGGAGGCTGGCTGTTCAGTTATCCAGGCAAGAGATGGTGGTGACTCCAGGTAGAGGGGTGGCCACGAGCCTGGAGGAAATGGACGAGTTTCAGTGGCGTTCAGTTCAGGAGACAGACTCGCCAGGATGTGGTGATTTATCCGCCTAAGAAAGGGCTGAGAGCAGAGGTGGGGTTACGATGATTTCTGGCTGTTTCCTGGCCTGGGAAGATGAGAGAAAGAACAGATTTGGAGAGGAAGATAATGAGTTTGGTTGAGGACACGTTGACTTTGAGGTGCGTACGGCTCATCTAAGTGGAGCTGCCCACTGGGCCATTGGATATGTGGGTGCAGCTCAGGGGAGAGAGAGCAAGCTGATGAGCCAGCAGCCTGGATGGTAATGGACGCCGTGCCCGTGAGTGAGATGCCCCAGCAGAATGTGTTGAGAGAGCAGGCCGGGGAGGCAATCCTGGGGAAAAGCGACAGGTGAGGGTCAGGCAGAGGACGAGGACCTGCAGAGACAGCTAAAACCGTCAGATGTTGCTGAGATGCTTCCATACCACGCAGTCAGTCGAGTCAGAACCTTTTTCCTGGTGGAGGGTCTTGCCTTCAGTTTGTAAAAAAAAAAACTCAACACCAGTGAAGTGCAATAAACAAGGTCTGTGTGTAGTGAGCAGCTAGAGAGAGAACATTTGTTATTGTTGGTGTTTTTAATGTGGGAGAGATGAAATGCTGATGAGAGGGAGGTGAGGGCGGGAAGGAGGGAACTGAGGGGGCGAGGAGGACGGTGAGACCAGAGCGAGGCTGGGTGTCTGGGCTGGGCGGGGACCGGGACCCCTCTACACACCCCGGAGGCAGACAGGTGCTGAGGTAGGTAAGTAGGGAAGGGGAGGCTGGGAATTGAAAAAGTTGTTGTCAAATAGTTTTTCTCTTCCACGAAGTGAAGAGCATTTGTTATCTGGTAGGCAGAGTGGGCTTGAAGGGAGAAGAGAGGTAGAAATAGCTGACACCAGTCTGCTCTGTTGTGTAAACTTCTTTCCAGCATTGCTTAGCCTCTGGGTTATACAAATTAGCTCTTCCTAACCAACAAACCACCCAGGAATTCAGTGCCTTAAAACCGTTTTCCCAGGGATTGGGTTGGGCTCAGCTGGGCGGGTCTGCTGATCCGGCCCCACTGAGCGGTCCCAGGTGGGGCGCACTCCTGCGCCTGCAGTCACCTGCTGGGAGCCGTGCTTTCTCCTCCACCTGTCCCCTCGGTGTGCAGCTGGCTAGCCCTGGTTTAACCTGGTGGCAGGGTTCCAGGAGCAGCGTGAGAGCCAGTGTGAAACGAAGTCCAGGTTTCTGCTTGTGTCACATGTACCGCTGTCCCATTCCCAGGCAAGACACAGGGCCACGGCCAGGGTCCGTGTGGAGACACGGCCAAAGGGAGTGGACACAGCGAGGTGGGACAGTTGGGGCCATTGCTTAGCCACCACGAGTGTGTGGAATGGAACCAGATCCAGTCCACCCAAGTCCAATCCCAGTTTTTGCAAGTGGGTGCAAATGGGCGACAGTGGAGCATAGGAATTGGGGAGATTGGCAAGAGAAACTGTCTCAATGGACCATGGGAAGTGGGCAAAGAGGAGGGGTTTGAGAGGGAGGAAGTAGCTGCATCAAAGAACTAGAGGTCTTGATGAAATGGAACAGGTAATCTTGGGGATACTGGAGTGCCAGGCAGAAAGAGTAGGCAGTGTGGCCGCAGGAGGTGAGATGGGAACACTCGGGTGTGGCAGCAGGAGTGGGTAACTGAAGAGAGAAGGAGGAGGTCATCGGAGTTGAGGGTATCACGTTGCCAGGTCCGGGATGTCATTCACATGAGGAGTGGGACTTGGCAACGTACCCAGCCCCCTGCCCCAGGCCTTCACCACACTGTGGTCTGAGAACATGGGTTATGCATGTATGCAGATGTCTTTTCAAAATTATCTGTTGCAGCGCAATTCTGACACTGACTTCCCACCTGGTGCCCGCACTATAGACACCAGCCACAAGCTCAGGGGCTCCCAAGGCCTGGGGACTTCTGACAAAGTAACACAAATTTGGGTGTTGCCACTACCCTTCAGAGGGTCCCAAAGACACAGCCTCCATATCTCTGGACACTTCCTTCCCAGCACACCCTTGTCTGTCACCAACCAGGAAGCTCCCCTAAGTGTCCAAGTCCAGGGTTTTTATTGAGATTCATATGTCGGCGTGATTGAACCACTGGCCACAGGGTTGAATTCCCTCTCCAGCCCTCTCCCCTCCCAGATCTGGCTGGTATTATGTGGTTCAGCAGCCCAAACCTCTAATCACCCTTTTGGTCTTTCAGCTTGGCCAGTTCCCATCCTGGAATGATCTAGGTGCCCACTATGAGTCACCTCGTTAGCATAAACTGTCAGGGCCCACGTGAATAGCACAGACATTCCAAGGACTTAGAGGCTCCCTCCCAGGAACCGGGGACAAAGACCAGCCAAATTCTTTGTTATGCAGCATGAGTTAATAAAGCCGCAGCCAGCATCTAGTCCCCGAAACTCTCCCGGAACCGAGCATAGGGAGCTGCATGTTTCTGCGGGTGAGCTAGGGAGGGACAGAGCTGTGTTGCCCATCTGCAGGGCTGCAGTCGGTAACCCTGCAGACAGAGCAGGGAGTCAGGTGCAGGGCACGCACTCTCTTTGATTGGGGGGTTGGGAGCTTGGATGACGTTTGCTGATGACTTTGGAATGTCTGGCAACAGGAAACACTTGGGGAGAGAATGACTGCTGTTTGACCTAACGAGAGGTCAGTGAATACTAATTTACTTCCAGCACCAGAGTGACCATTACAGGCACTAGCACTTGTAATTAGATGGTTATTTCCATTTTAGACTGACGGCTGTCATCAATTAATAGGCTTGGGTATGAGGTAAGTCTCCCTAGCAGCTGGCTACCTCTTGGGCACAGAGTAGCAATCATCAAGTGCCATGTCTGTCTGTTTTGTTTTTCTTTCCCTCCTTCTCTTTCCTTCTTTTTTCTTTCAACTTTTCTGAACATCTTATTTATACTTTTACATAAAGCTGCAGTCAAGACCCATATATCGACCACCTACATTCTATCATTAATATTGTTCTGTACTTGCTTTTTTATATATATAT